TATACAATATATAATAAATATATGCGCTACGAGAGAGGAGAGAAAGAGAGAGAGAGAAAGAGAAAGAGTGGCGGTAAAGTATCGGGACGCACGTGCGATAGTCGGGAATATTTCATTACGTGACGTTATTATTATACTATTTTCATATGCCGGATAAATCAAAACGGAGAGATTCGCTCGTCCGGTGATGTTATCCCGTGACTTTATCAAATCGAAATTACATAATCAACATCGGCGGCGGTGCATTCACGCACGTGTGTCGCAATACTACGTGTGTCGCTCTCGTGCGCGTTTCTCGGTATACGGTAAACGATTAAACAAATGGGAATCACTAGTGTGTGTGTGTGTGTGTGTGTGTGTGTGTGTGTGTGCGTGCGTGCGTGTGTGTGCGTGTATATAGAGGACCACGGGTTCCTTAATTTTACAATTCTTGAGAGAAAGAGAGAGAGAGAGAGAGGGGGGGGGGGGGGGGGGGAGGAGAGAGATAGAGAAAGCGAATACATGAATGCTCGTCAAAAAATAATTAGTAATAATAAACGATAATTCACATTGCGTATCTCTCGTTGCGCGCCTAGTAGACTGCAAATAGTAGTCATTCGAAAGTCCGTACATCGTGTTTTGGAGACACGAGCAGGAAGTGTATAGTGTTTTATTACAAGAAGTCCATGCATCGACGGGATCTTCTGTGTCGCTTTCCGGACAATTACTTTTGTGATTTATTCGTAATCGAAGGAGCATTTATAAGGTATAAGGCGCACCCGGTATTCGAAGATTACAACAGATTATAACCCCGAAAAGAGAAAAATCGAATTAAAAGAAACTGACAGTGTCGGATGATAAGCGTACCTCGTGAGCATAGCTTACAAGGGAATTTTTTGGAAAAAAATGGTAATCTTTTTAATTCCTTCTGTGTAGAATGAAGCATAACGATATAACAAAGTGCCCAATATGGAATGGAGAGGAATTTGCTCTAATAAAACAATTAAATCGCTTAATTCCATCTGAAGGATTAAAATGAATGAAGAAAATTAATAAACTGTTAAACTTATCTCTGACAATTTTATAGATTGAATCAGTTTCTTTGAATTTCTTCTTCTTGCGGGGAGAGCTTTAAAAATCACTGGTAAAACTGACAGAAATCGAATAGCCGGGAGAAGCCATTTTTCGCTCTTCGATAATTATATGAGTAATTGTCTTTTGTTTGACAGAAAAGCGATGCGAAGGTCGGTCGCGTTGTACTCAGATATACTCCGCATACCTTGTTATTCAGCAGCAGTTGAACAGATGAATATGATTTATTGCAGAGAGCCGTAATACCACAAGTGAAACCGTTCTAAGTATATTTGTTATACACACATATTGTTACCATTGCCACATGAAAGCAATTATTAACTCCATAGCCTGGGCCATTGTTAGACGAACGAGAACTCGGGACTGTTTCTTGAAGTAGGATTGCAACTGGCGTTACTATCACTATAAAGTTCGTGATTATAATTATTACACTTTTTAATAAAATGTAATAACTATATTGTTTAAGAGGACAGTTGAAAAGAGATCCGAGGAGGGGATCTTGGAAACACTGGAAAACGCGCGAACAGTTCCTTCTCATGAATTTTAATAATTAGACTTTAGCGTTATTCTTTCAACATAAAACGCACCACGTTTTAAGTTTCTTCTATCGAGAAATAATTTCCAAGGGTGAGCTGATTTAAGAATAATTACGTTTCTCTTTAATCTTATATTCTTTATCTTTTGTTTTTCTTCTTTTTAACAGCGCAATCCTACGTCGAGGAAGAAAAGAGTTACAAAAGAAAGTGAGACAAGTTATCGTAATAGTCGCCGATTACTCCGTAACAATGGCAATGCCCATACGTATGAAGTCTGTAATCGAAATGCTTTATATTTTTACACCGAACAAAGCAGTATATAACGTACAATAAAACAATAAAACATGTCCTTCCATACATGCAACCTCAAGATGACAAATGTTAAATTTTTATTTTTACAACAGCCCACTATCACTTCCGATATCTGAGCTATATTTGGGCGTATAATTATAGTTGAGACTATTAATTAGGATATTAAAGTCGGCTAGATTCATTTTAATCGACTCACAATTTTACGATTTCTACACGAATGATCGTCTACTGTAATATACGCATTATACGATACGTATACATATGTTAGTGATATTATACCGATGCGACGACTCGTTTTACGATCGTTAATAATCCGCAGGAAAGGAAAAAAGATTTCGAAACTGTTAATTTCTTCTCCGAAATTATGAAAACGAGCTGGCCTGTCCAAACAAATACGTATATAGTTAGCGTTCCATTCGTCCGTTGTCGCAGCGTCCGATTGTACATTGACGCCAATTAATTCCGGCTATGCAGATTTATGCTGTTTCGAAGCGAAGAAATCAAAAGAGGGGAAGAAGAAGCAAATAGTACCAAAAGCGAATTGCGAACGCCGACGCGTTTAACTTCGATCACGACCGACACATATATTGTACATATGTATTTATTAAAAATGATAGATATACGAACTCTCACACACACAACAAACACACTCAACGCGCATACATTTACGCAAAAGTTTCCACCGTACTGAATAGTGTGTGTTAAATATTTTTCTCCGACATTACATGTCTGGTATTCATAGTACATTTTTATTTTAAGACCATCTTTTAGGTAATGTCTTAAGATGTTAACACGGCTCTGTGATTAGCTTATGACATCTTAAAACTGTACTTCAGACAGTCTTAAATGTAAAAACCGATTATATCAATACCGACCTATAATTTTCATATACAAGAAAAAAGAAGAACTGCATCGACGATGATTCCGCGAATACGCGACAGCCTTCAATATTATTGTTCTATATAATGGATTTCAGATACTGTTGCAAATTGTTTCTCCAAGTAATCTCTGCATATGCGAGTTTGACGTGAACATGAACGTGATGATGAACCTTTTACGCGATGCCGTTCTTCGATCGTGATGTAGGTCTCGCGAAATTCAATCGAGCGTGCAAAATCAAAAATTGCATCCTGTCTAATTTCTGTCGACAAAATTAATCCTCGGCAAACCTGCCGAAAGACAAAAGTTAGCCAGTATCTCAGCTCACGTTATGTGGTAAACATTTGCGTATACAACATGTCGTTCCATCAGCAACATCATTATTGTTATCACCTGGTCGACCGACTTATAGTGTGCCGTCGAGGTTTCTTATCGGCGGAACACTGTACGTGTTCGGTTTTTTTATTATAATCGCCGTCAAATTTAATTTCAACGTATTCTTGATCTGTACAGGCTGTGTCGAAAGTCCCGTGATGGTTTATAAACTCCCCGAAAATATGAAGTTTTACAAAATTATATGAAAATTAAATTATTAACGTTACGAATTAAGGAGTCTCGAGCCATGTGATATAAATAAGTTACAAATCTTATCCTTCCATCGATTAATGAATTTTGTTTTATCAATGTATAAATCTCAGGCTCGAGGTGCAATCTGAACATTTACACAGATCTGTCGAGGAGGCAAAGAATTTCGATCGATTTGAGAGTATTGACGGAAAAACTTCTTGCGGGGAAAATGCGTGCGACTTTTGATACGGCCTACACATACGAGGTTTAACATGGTACGGCGAACACACAAACAAATTAAATTCACATTTGTTTATTTTAGAACGCCTCTAATAATAAAGACAGCCGTACTTACTTGTACGTGAAAGTATACGTATCTGAAGGAAGGGAACTTCGATATCTCCTCGATTCGCCAAATCGCGACGGAATTTTCTTCAAGCGCGGAGCGGGACGTCGCCAAATTGGGATATTGCCTTTTTGGTAGAAAAGGGAGGATTCGATGTCGAATCTTCGAAACGCGGGAGATCGAGAAGGGGAATATAGGGCTAATGTCGAGTCGAGCCTGAAATTAATAATCAAAATTGAACGACTGTTTGCGAAACACTTGTGATTAACTATTTTATAAAACCGACCCACGGTACGTCCTTAGATATATTATGTAACAAAATGTAGAAAGCAAGAAAAGAGAAATAAATCGAGGAAAATTCCCTTGTGAGAGAGCACGAATATAAAATAAAGACTTTTAAACATTATCATCCGTTTTTATCACACTCTCATCTGAATGATAAAAAAAAAAAGAAGAAAAAGGTAAAAAGAAAATGCGAAGACAGTCTTTCCCGTTTCGATGTTTATCGTTATTCATTTTACGCGCGTCGAATCGTTGGGACTGTGTTCGTAATGTTATTAGCCGTTAGAAGTTTCTCGATCATTAGAAGCCGTCAAAAGAAAGAAAAAAAAGAAATCGAATGTTTACAGAAGAAAAGGTACATACCACACGCTTACTGGAAAATACGAATATAAAATGTATTTCAAGACGTCTTCATGTAAAGCTGATGAATGTTTTACGTGTATTAAAATGTTCCCTTTTAATCCTATTAAGACTTACAAAATATTATAAGTATTATACTTTACTTGTATATATACATATGTGATAAAAAAATATATATATATCTATATATATACATCTTGTTCTCTTGTGTGCGTAAAATTTATATTCGTGACCTGTTCTCCGTCAAACAAATGTATATGTTGAAACATTATATGCATAGTTAATTCGTAATAATACAGGTTATATGTCAGCATCTTGATACCGTGAGGACTACGAGCGAATTTGCAAATAAAAGTTTTATATATTTACAGAAAAATATATTTTTGACTATCTATTTTTACAATTTGGTTTTACAATCTTATTAAATAAACAATATCAACGTGGAAACTCGCAATATATATTACAATTTGTGCACAATACATATTACAATTTGATTTTAATAAGATGTGCAAATTATGTCTTTAACATATTAACGTTTTTAAAATATCGTGATTGTCATGCAGTTTTATTTGTATATCGCGTTTACTTTCATAGACGTCATGATTCAAGTAAAATATGCATTATGATAGATTATCACAGTTCTGCAATAAAATATAAATTTATGTTTATGTGTATTCAGTCAATTGGAATTATATTCATAATTCCTACAGAGAATAATGTTTTAGAATCCAGTGATTATTCTCCTTTAAGCGTATAGTTTCTTAAACATCGTTCGAGGGTACCATGTCCAAATCGGAAACCGTACTAATGCTAGGTAAACTACTGTCGCTCCAATCAGGATGTGGACAGTCCCGTAATGGACTAGGTATATTAACAGGTTTCCTATTTTGCATATCGCCTTGCTTCCTTATGCCAGAAACTGTTGATTTTGTAATGCTTTCAAAAACTTTTGATGCATTAAGAAACAAATTTTTGGTGTTATCATTTTCTTTTCCCTTAAATGTTGTAAACCCTTTTATTTTATGGATATCATTTTCTTTATTGTGATCCTTCTTTGAAGATTGATGCAAGGATTTTTTTGTGGTTACATCATTCGTATTTTGGCAAGGGACAGTATTATTTTCATTATTATTTTGCTTTATTGGTCCTTTATCCTTAACTGTTAATAATAAACATTAATATAAATTAAAAATTGCATTAAGGTGATTTCAATGATAATTGTGTAGTAAACTCAAACAAACTTACCTTCATTTTGATCCGGCAGTATGGTATGTGATGATTCCCCATCAAGTAAACTAACGAGTTCAAAATCTTTAACGGGCGCATCCTTTTTTAAAACATGTTCTTTAGGAATGGAATCTTCTGAAGAAATGTCTGATAAATCATTCCAGGATTTATTAAAGTCATTAGAAAAACTAGAGGTAGGAGAAGAACATGCGTGCCCTATATGAATCAACGATATGTGGGAACTTGTGCTTCCTTCTTTCATATACATCTCATTTAAAATTTTTACATGTTTTTCAATATGATTTTGTAGCTCTCTGTAATACAAATCAATTGTTACATAATTTGTACGATTTACAATTATATATCCATCGCGCGCGCAATTAGTAATTTTTTTTAAATATATACATATTAAAAGTAGAATGTGTAATATACTAACTGTATTGTATTTCGATAATCAGTAATTTGTGCATCTTTATAAGAAGATAACTTCGAAAGTTTATTTATTTCCATTGTTAAATATTCGTTATCAATATCATTTTTTCGTGCAAGTTCTGTTTGCTTATTTAGATTCGTTTTTAGATCTGTAATCGTTCTTTCGTTGTTTTCAATTTGTTGCATTAGCCTTGACATTGTATCGTTCTTTTTATAAGTGGCTTCTTTCAGTTGTTGTGTAAGTCTTTCTACTTGAAATTTTAAGTCTGCATATTTTTGATCAACTTCCTTTAATCGTTCATCTCGCTCTTGAATTTCACTGATGTAAAATAAAAAGATTGAAAAATTAATATTAACTTCTAGTTTTCTTATTACACTTACATATCACATCAAACCTTTTTAATTTTTCTCGTTCTAATATGAATGATTCATATGACACAGTTCTTATTTTTTTACTAGATTCCTTTAGTGGAACTGCATTGAATTCTGCTTTGGTTTCTAGATCCTGCAAAAAATAACAATGTAATAAATTCATTCAAAGCTGGTATAAAAGTGACAGAACAATTAAATAGACTTATATAATAAATGTCAATTAAAGTATATGCCGAAAAATATAAATTACAGGTAAATATAATATATTGTAAAGAATATTACTACGTCGATTCGCAAATTTTCGCAAGTGTTTTGATACGCGTATATCTCTTTATATAGAATCTCGATTGAATAACTTTTACAGGCGTATAAGGTAGGCTTCCACTACAATGCCTTACTGATGAGTCCAGTAGTACGAAACGCCAAAATTAGGTGATATTCTTTGCAATATATTAAAATAAATTAAAGAATTTAACGAATGTATTGGCTCGTAGCCCTGATTCTCTACATTAGTGGTAAATATAATGTTTAGATAACATGTAATTTTAACAGCTTACCGGTACTTTCTGCAATATTTGTTCCATTTCAGTAAAAATTTCACAGATTCTTTTATCATTTTTATTAACTAAATCTTTTAACTGTTTGATTAAATGTAACATGTGTAGTGGATTAAAATCAGTAATAAGTTTGTTAAAATCATAATCAGAACATTGTACTGCACAATCCTGAACAAAAATTGATGAACAGCATGGTAAATGTTTTTCATCTAACTTTTTCTAGAAAGATATTTTTTATATGAGAAATTATATATTCAATATAAAAAATATTTAAATAAGAAGCATGTAATCATATACAGGGTGGGACATTTAAAAGTGTTATAAGCTATTATCTCTAAAAGTAATCAAAATCAAAATATGTTCAGACAAAAGTTGTATAATTTCAAAGAGAAATAATGATAAAATCAATTAAAAAATTCTTTATTATTTCTTTATTAATTCGTTATTAGAGAAAATACATAGTTGTTTTTCAAAAATGTGATATAGCTTGTAACACTTTAAATGCTTTAAATGCTCTATTGTATGTATATATAGATTTAAAATTTATATAATATATAAGACTTACATGTTTCACAGTACTTTTCTGTTGTTTTTTAGCATTTATATTCTTTTCTGCTTCTTTTCCACTTTGTTTAGAAGAGTGTTGTTTTGATACATGTAACAAATTCTGATTAAAAACATTACCCCAGTTTGGTGGAGTGTTATTATCAGTAGTCATAGATCTTATCTTCTCAGCTTTCTGTTCATGGTTACAACTCACTACAGGTGAAGTACGTTTCTGACCCTGATTCTTTTTTCTTACTGTGACTTCTACAATATGATCCTGACCGAACATTATAACTTCGTTGGACGGGCTCATTGTGACACGCTTCTAATAAAAAAAAAATATGAAAATTCATTTAGACATTATAGCAAAATTATCTACATACCATAAAAGTGCATTATAAAAAAAATAAAACCTTTTGTTCTGCATCACCAGGTTTACAGGTTCGTTGATAATTGCCTGAACTATTTTTCTTGATAGTACCGGTCTTATGTATCTTACTCATTTTGGCACTTATTAAAGTCACATTGACTGTTAGATGTTGTTGAACATTTATTTATGAATATATTCATGAAACTTTCAGAAAAACAAATAGAGAAAAGTAAACATTATCTTGAACATAATAGAAGATTGATATATTAACAAATAATCAGAATGTATTGTAATCTAAAAATATGGTACTTTACAGATCGTAGTATTTGTTTAGCACTTATCAGAAGAAGCGTAATGTAATTATTAATTATCTAATATCGTTTTACAAATATATTATCAGAACAAATATATTATTAGCTAAAATCCTTACAATGCAAGACATTAGATTCCGCGCGACATCATCAAACTTCACTGAGTTGTTGTCAACAGTTGTCAATTACTTAGAGAGAAGACTTGAATAAATGGAACACGACCAGAAAGTTGTCAATTACTCCTTTCCCTCCTCTAGACTGCGTTCAGAAACATCACCCGAGTGCTCCCTTGTTCGTCATAAACTGATTTTTTCATGTGCAATGAGAGCCGCGCTTTCTTTTAGGATTGTCCTGCCATTGGCTGTCGCTAGTTAACGATAGCGACAATCATCGATAAAACGTTTAGAGAATCCCGGCCCAGCACGCTGCGGCAGCAAAATGTCATGTGATACAAATTTTCGAGAACTGATTGGAAGTGCGTCACAGTGCGTCACCTCACAAGAGATTTTTAACCAATAATAACATTTTGCTGCCGCAGCGTGCTGCGCATGAAAAAGCTTTATCCTTGTTTAACATGATTGGACAACAAGGATAAAACCACGAAGTAATAAGAAGGAGATCAAGCTCAAGCGTTCGGCCATGAAAAAGATGGGCTCGAAACACGGTGTATAGAAGAACTGATCCGAGCGCGCCTGTCGGAAAATACATCGAAACACATCGAAATGTAGTAGGTTAGAGAAAGCGAAATATATGTCACGTGACAATACTTTCAACTTTTCCCACGAAGGCGCTAAAATCACATCTTCTTAATTTTTCATGGGGTTTTCCGAAACCGTGTTTCGAGCCTATATTTATTCTCGAGTTTGATCTCCTTCTTATTACTCCGTGCTGCGTGTGAAAAGGGGAAGGATCCCATTTACCTTCATTCCCGATTGCACACACCACTCACATCGATCGGTGTCTAGTAACTTTTCATGCGTGTGAAAAGGGGAAGGTCCCATTTACCTTCATTCCCGATTGCACACACCACTCACATCGATCGGTGTCTAGTAACTTTTCCGTGCTTTACCAATGAGGTTATATTATTTTTGAATTGGCCAATCAGCGAGCAACGTGTGCAATCGTCATGTAGGTAATCGGAATCTTCCCATGAAAAGGACCTTAAGATATTCAATTCTCAAAGTGTTACACGCAGTTGCTTAAATATGGCGGCTGCTTTTTGATCAATCAAAACGTTGTTTCGTATTGTAAAAAGTTACCTTAATTACTATCATGTGTATTCCACTGATTTTGAGCAAGCATTTGATTGGTAATGGCCGCAACACAAGATTTTTTTATGCGCATAATATAATGGTCGTGTTCCGAAATGCACTGCCAGTACTGAAAATCTATAGTTCACGTTACATATACTATAAATTTTCAGTACTGGCAATGCATATCGGAACATGCCTTTTATCATGACTTGAAGATAGGTTTATTCTTTATTTTCACACTATACCTGAATTGGTGCCCACGGTGCAAAGTTGAAATTCGCTAAAATCCTAAAATTCAGTCAATAGAATACAGATTTCGATTAGGACTGGTAGTCTTATTGGTTGAATTTTAGGATTTTGGGGTTAAGAACTGAAGCAGATAATGCCGGTTCTACATTAGTTGCAAATCGATCGCAAGTTCGTTGCGACAGCCAATCTCAAGCTTGCATTTTGAAATCAACGCTTCAGATTGGCTGTCGCAACAAACTTGCGATCGACTTGCAACTAATGTAGAACCGGCATAACAGGCATTTAAATCGTGAGTTGGCAAACTGGGGTTAAGATGGTATTAATGGTTGCTTTCCATCTACGACACAGCAATCACCTCATCTTTATTTAACATTAGCGAACGACGAGGATGCAACGATTGCCGTGTCACACCGTGTCACTTCTGTGTCTCTTGTTGGATAATAATCTTATGCGTAGATATTATTTTTTACATTAAAATAATCCAGATGACTTATGAACGTACTTCTTATATCGTACATATATTTAAAATGTAAATATTCTAAAGCGCCAACCGAAAATTAGCAACCATAACCAAGAGTGTCCGACTATGCTTTTCTGCTGTGTCGAATCGTGTCGTGGCGTGTCGTTGTTGGAAAGCACCGCGTTCGACACTGTGTCGATGTGTGTCGCCTAAAAGCCTTGATCGAAAGCAGCCAATATAAAAACCAACCATGAACTTCAGCCCCTAGTATCACCCAAACTTGGAGCTCGGAGCAGTGTGGGCAACCGAATTCCGAAATAACGAGTATTTCGTGTAAATCACACGCACACATTGTCATTTATCAGTGTCGCGTCAAGTATAGCTGGTCTCCGAGATAACTAGCGTACATTAATCGACGATTAAACCCGTAGCTGTTTCACGGAAGCTGTAGAACTGCGTATCGTTCATCCCGCGCGCGATAATCGATATCGAGGGCGTATCAACGATACGCGATCGCAAGGTCCGGCTTAAGGGGATTAGGGACAGTGTATTCAAGTTACATCGTCTACGCACGTCTACGGCGCGTGGTTCCAGGCTCGTTCTTGTAAACATGGTATTTGGACTCGTCGGGATAATTGTTTTTTTCCACAAGACCAATTAAGCTCCGCAGGAGCGCGAATCTTACGAGCAGCGTGAGGGACAGCGCAGCCGCCTTCTGAGAAGACCGGCGTGTATCATGTGATTCTCACTGGAATACAACAAGTATGGGCACATTTCCGTTTCACGGTGAGTTTGTCATGTTCTGCCATTTGGACCGCTCATTGGATTTCGTGTTTTCGGAATACCGCTCAAATAGGTGGGATAGCCCGGGGGGGGGAACTGATATTGACCACTACGCTAGTTACTCTTCTCGTGATAATCAAGTTTGCTCGCGTGCTATCATAAGGTTGTTTTTTTTTTTTATTCCTGTACTGGATTGCGCACTGAAACTTTAATTACTTTCGCCAAACATTAAATATCTACCTGTTTAAGTTTAAAAATTATATACTTGTTGAGCTATATAGAAAACAGACCTTTAAATTGCTTATTCCTTACATGTTAATTAAAGTTTGCCAGTAGTTAATTAGACAAATTGCACGTTAGATTTTTTGCATCTACTTGCAACTTGCATTTTGTTTATAAGATCAATTGTCGTTACTGTATGAATTATTTGTTGACTTTCGCGGACATTTATACTTACTAGGTTATAGCTGTTTTCATAATAACACGATACATGATATTTATATTACAATATTTTCTTGCAAAACAGGAAACTATATGATTTAATGACAAAAATTTGCCGCATCTTGGTACTTTACCATGGAGCAATCAGACTCGCCACAAGTTCTGGAAGTTCATGAGATCGAAACGGAAGATGTACAAATAGTTGAAATCGTCAAACCAGATATAAAAACCATTGCAGAAAGTAGTCAAGATTTATCCAAGGTGTACAAGCTACCGTCGGAATCTCTATTAACAGTAGACAATACTGATATTCATACAGGAGTTAAGTCAAAAGATCATGTAGACAAAAGCCACAGCGAGGTATCTACTAAAGAAATTGACAATGATGTCAATAATCAAGTGGAATCTGAGTCAACGGAGCCAAATGTAGAGGTACATAAATCAGAACAGGAAGAGATCAAAATCTATGATATAAAAGACGAGGTAAATTCAAATCATGAATCACAACACTTGTCTAATGAGGAAGACCAAAGCCTAAATGTGATAACTGAATCTAAAATAATAAATGAAGATAAAGAAGCAACGAAGGCAACGGATAGTCTACAAAATGACTGTATTATAATAGAGGACGCAAATCAATTTGATTCCAGGGATAAGCAGAATGTAGTACCAGACGAGTCTAGAGTTAGTAAACATGAGGGCCAAAGTCATGACTCGTATAAGTCAATTGAAGAAACAATCAAGGAAATGCATGATAGCGATAGTAATCAGAATAACTCAGTAGCAACTAATGCTGAACCAACTAAGTTGATGCAGGAAGAAACAGAGGTAGTTGTAGTAGTAGAGACTGTACCAGACACAACTAACACAACAGCAGATAATTTTATTGTTACTTTACAAAAGAAAGATTCTGATAAGGAATGTAATCAAGAAAATGTTACTTTGCAAGAAAAACAAATTGCAAAATCTGAACATGGGAACAATAAGATTGATCTAATTCGTTATAGTCAAGAAAGTGACGATACCATACTAGAAGTAACAGAAATTATAGATACTCCACTTGACGAACGATACAAGCAGCAAAGTAATACGGGCTACATAGACAGTAATAAATGCGATACGAAATCCATAAAACTAGTTGATAGGAAAATTACAGTAGATGAAAGTGTAAATGATGAAAATATTAAAATAAAAGCGACTGATAAAAGTTTGATAAATTCTGGAAAAAAGAATAAAGAAGATATCACTATTATTATAGATGAGAAAATTATAATCACAGAAGTTGAGTCTTCTCAAACAGATCTACCACAAATTGAAAATATCCATAAAAATATTGTTAAGGAGATAACTGAGCATAAACAAGATGATACCTCTGTTGACAAAGTGTCCACAGTGGATTCATCGAAGAAAAGAAGCTTTATCCAAGATATATTTGATGATTGGGGTGTTGAGAATACGGATGAAGATACACAATCAAGTTCAAAAGTACAAGACTCTGTTGAGATTGAATTAAAAAGCCTAATGGATGAAACGAAGACAGACCAGACTGTTTCGAGTGAATCAGTTGCAACTTGTCAAGAAAAAGTCCCTTCTGCAGTTGAAGAATATGATGAGACACATAATATTGTAAGTACAATCGAGAAGAGTACAACGAAACAGCCGACTGAAGAAACAGAAAATCAAAAGAAAAACAAAGCTGTTAATAAGGACGCAATATCATTGAATAAAAATGAAACGAATTTTCCTGTGCCAACTGTGAACAAATCTTCACGAAGTATGGATACGCATCCGGTTAACGCGTCGTCACACGACACTACAGTTCCTAAAAGTCGCGCTCGGCATTTAACCAGTCAGATAGTGTCGCCAGCCGAAGTGACGGAAGTGTTGAAGGAGCGTTTTCGCGAAAAGCAGAAGAGCGTAGAGGCATCGCGTGGACCAGATATATTCTTTGTGAAAAAATTAACGCAAAGACTGTCTAGTAAGTTGGCAGGTAGCACAGTATCCAATCCAGTACCAAAACTCATACCATTACCACAGCAAACTGCTTCTTCAAATCCATCTCCCTCTTCTGTTGCTGCATCATCGACACTGGAAAACTGTGATAAAAAGGAAACGGAAAACACAACAACGGAAGCTGGCAAGGATAGTAATTCTGATAACAAAGAACTATTGGCCATCTTAGAGGGTGACATTGATCCTGACTGGTCCATTTTGAAACCACCAGTTCTCACCGAAGAAAGCAAAACGGCGTCAAATACCGTGGAACACTCTGAACAAAGCAGTCCACCAAAACTCGATCCGTTAATTGAACGAGAATTGGCGCTGAAACAGCTCCTTGAATTGCCCATAGCACCGTCCAAGATTTCATTGCGGAAAAAGAAAACGTTCCGAGCAGCGTCTGGTAAAGCATCTAAGGACGCGACGATTGTCGAGAAAAGTTCGCTTGCTGCACAACGAAAGGAAACTAATGTAGATTTAGCAAGTGAAAATACGCAACCAAATACAAAATCCGTTGAAATTGATTTAAATTCTTTATCTCATGAAAAGAATCAGGATCAGATAAATTTACGATTAGAAGAGTCGAGATCAGGCAGAAAGCGTAAACCCACCGAAAAAGCAAGAGAGCACGAAGAAAATACGATAAAACGACAGAAGGTATATAGAGGTAAAGTTTCGATAAATAAGAAACAAATAGAAGAAAAGTCCGTCTCTAGTGATAACTTGACGGTTGAAAATCATGTTGCGACGAACGTTGCTGTAAATAATGAGAAAATTGCCATGAAAGAAGCAGCAGGTAAACAGTCTGAGAATAAAATAGATTCAGTTCTTAATAAAATTGAAGATTCTTCTTCAAAACGGTCGAAGCCTGGTCTTGTTAAAAAAGGACCGATCACTAAGAAGAAAATGGTAGTTAAGAAGTTGTTGCGCCAAAAAGTGTCACCTGATAAGAAATCTGTTCAGCTGAAAACTAAGCTGACTTCGTCGCCGAAGAAGACACCCCCGAAAGCTGTCTCAAAATCGCCAAAGCGGACGACTGAAGTTCCAGTTGGTGACGTGAAGCCTAAGAAGAAGAATATAAATGAGATAGACAGATTGTTACAAGACGAAGGTGTTGTCAATTTACTGTACGATGTAGAACAGCCGGATAGAAAACGCCTGGTTCCTATTACAAAGTCACGAGCGAAAGTAATGGACCTGCAGAAAGTGCAACGTGAACTTAAAATTAGAAAAAAATTAGTTCGCAATGCTGTGTTGCGATTACGTACGTCAACGACCGCGGATGTTTCGAAATCTCCGAGGTCAAAAAGAACGACGATTCATGCGGTTGATGCTCAAGACAAAAAGATGGTAGAGCAAGTCTCGTCACCAAAAACTGCATCACCCACAGAATTTATTCTTCCCGCAAAGATTCGAAATGCGGCTGACGCGTCTATCATTGTCAGGAGACACTCGTCTAGTTCATTTTCGAGTGCATCTGGAAGTCCCAGAGTTAGCGTTGACTCATCTGAGAAATTTATAGAAGCCGTCAAGTCGGAAGACGGAACAATTCATTCCTTGAGATCTGCCAAAAAGAGACGAGATTCACAAGATGAGAAAATTAATTATTCGAAGAAGAAGAAGAAAACTATACAAAAGTCTGATACTGATGTTACTGCTACTAATATCAGTACCATCTCTACTACAACTACTACAATTGCCAGCAATACTATTGCTAATAATACGGAAGAAAAAGTTAATGTACGCCCCGGTAAGAAATCAGAAATCAAGAAAATGGACAAAATCGGGAAGCAACAGGAAAACATTTCTGCAGTTGAAGACAATGTTTCGAGTAAAGTTACAACCCGATCGTCGAATGGTGCAGTATCAGGGAAAGTAACAGCAAAGAGCAAAAAAGTTATGAGAAGCAAAGTAACTTTTGCCAAGGCAAATGAGCCTGATAATGCTGAGGATTCTTTGAAAAATGATGATAAATTATCTGCTTGTCTTGCTGAAGCAGCTACTGCTCTTTCAGTCGTCAATGCCAGAAATGGTGCGACTACGCGAAAGAGCAAAGGTAAAGGTAAACACTTATCCAATAATGCCCTTTTTTTTTTGTAAAACTAAAAATATAATAATTTATTTTCCATGTGAGAAAACGATGAAATGTTAAAAGTAATTTAAAAACAATTTGATATGAACTATATAATAAATATCTTACAATATTTCAGTAAATACAAATACTGTGAAACCATTGGATATAGATAGTAACAAAATGAAAACGGAAATACAAGCTCAATTCAGTAATAAAGAAATAAATGTTCGACGACATGGTAATCTCGTACAATTAATACTTACACCATCCTCTTCGACAAAAATAAGAAATGCTCTTACATTACAAGTAAGTAGTTTTACACTCAGACAATCTCCAAACTCTATTAGAAACTATTAATACATATTTCTTTCAATGTTATTAAGGTAATGCAAGAATTCAAAGAGGCTTTGTCGATATTAAAAAGAGATGACAAATGTAGGGTAGTACTCTTAACATCTACGGGTACAAGCTTTTGTGAAGGTCTCGATCTTTCCACATTATTGCATTCAAATAAGGATGAACGACGATCCATCGCTCAAGAGTTGGCACTTGCTGTCAAGTATGTATTTAGATTTGTGTAAATATTTAATATAATATTAATATAGTATTTTATATAATTTTTAATATACTATTTTATACAGTTAATGTACTTTATATATAATAGTTTATATGTAAAGTACATCAACTGTATAAAATAGTATATTAAATTATATAAAATACTATATTAATATTATATTAAGACTTTATATATAATAGTTTATTTCATCAAATTTTTTTTTTAGGGACTTTATAAAAAGTTTAGCTACTTTTAATAAACCTATAGTAGCTGGTGTACAAGGTGCTGCAATTGGACTTGGAGTGACTATGTTACCTCTTTTTGACCTTGTAATTGCTAGTGATAAAGCGACGTTCTGTACGCCTTACGGAAAATTAGGACAAATTGCCGAAGGTGCTGCAGTCTTCACTCTGTCACACATACTAGGCAGTGCAATTGTAAGTCGTAAGCAATTTTTATAACATTTATAACATAACGTGAAAATAATAAAAAAACAACGTCTATGCATTTCGATAGACGAGCGAGCTTCTTTTGGGAGGAAGAACTTTAACAGCGAGTGAAGCATTAAGAGCCGGTCTTGTTACTCGAGTTTTATGGCCTGATCGGTTTCAAGTCGAATTATTACCATCATTGAGGGCTATGAGCGATCAATCGTCACAGGTAAGTTATATACAACAATGTTTCTTGATTTTAATCTTATTAATGCTTTTGCAATATATTTACGAGATATATATTATATTTTATGCACTCATAATATCGCTAAACTTTTAACAGTTTTTTTACATTTAGTAAATTATAGAACTTTTAATAACGGTAACAATAAGCCATATAAGCAGGTCCGGAATAAAGTAATTCCTGTACATTTACTTGTGTCTTATTTTTGAAAACGCATAAATGCTTTTCTGGACATGTACATCTATAATATGTTGAATATAGATCAGATCGTATATAGCCGCAAAACTCCAAAGTCTCGCACATTCTTTTCTGTATTAAAAAGTTTACATTCAGTAAATAACATTGATAGATAAAAGAATATATATATATATGTGTGTGTATATATATATAAAGGTATTAAAATAAAATAAAATAATTAATCTTGTCTATTCCTACATGATTTAAACATTTTTTCTTTTTAAATAAGAGAGTACAGAAGAGAATTAATGGTTTTATATATTGTAAATAATAACAAAAAGTATGTATAGATCATGGAAAATACTTGTAATTATCTCGTAAAATGCAGAAACGATTTTCTCTCTGTGCATTACATTACATATATAAAATATATACCTTGACACATCTGAATATTTGAACAATACCATGCTTTTCGTATGTGTATTTTTGCAATTTCCAGTAATGTGTTTGCGGACATATGCAATTCATAGTTACATTGTACGGTATTATATAGTTATTATTCGTATCACCTTCTCCATGTACGATCATTGCTTCTTGTTTATGTGCGCATGTCTCCAGTTCCAGAAATTGCGTACAGAACTGTCAGGAAACATAATTATTGGAAATGTTAAAAATATTTTTTAGTTACTTAATATTTTTGATACCTTCAGAATGGATTTATTATTGAGGAATATGGTTGAGTTATCAAAGGTTTTTGTCCATTGCCACGGACATTCATTCCCATCGGGACAGTGACAAAGCCTTTCCGTCAATTTAGGCATCCAAAATCGATCATGAATTACATTGCACACCTCGTAAGGTTCACAGTTGTGTAAATCGCTTTCTCCTTCAACCTGTTTTGATTCAATAGAAATTTGTCGTTCAATAGAAATTACGACGTTATACTCTTATGAGAACTATGTTTATATAGTATTTCGTTTACGAACTCCCTTCATATACTTGAACGTATTATTAGCCTTACTGCTAATTGTTGTATATACACCGACACTCGCGTTTATCAGGGAAATGAAGAAACAAGTTTTGATAAACATATTTACAATCGTACGTATACTCGACTGTGCTAGATTCGATTGTCATAAGCAAAATTATTAACGCAAGTAGCAGCAATAATGCTAATATATTCTCGATTCTACGTGTGCACCCACATGACTCCATTACGAAATATTTTAATATTCATGGCATTGTCTTCGTTTCATTTGTAAGATGCAGAAATATGAGTATAAATCGAGTGTTGATAATAAAGACTATGTTTTTTGCAGTATTGTACATATTTTAATAGGTTTGATAAACACAGATTTAACAAAGATATATAATAAAAGAAAGTATTTATATAGGATATTGTAAAATAAGAGAATCGTTTCTGCATATGTGTATAATTATAATTTTTGAAGTCACTAATCATATTTTTTTTAATAAAAAAATCTGTTTTTTAGTCCATGGAAGCAACAAAGGCTCTACTACGTCACAGTTTACGGAAAAAATTAGATGCCGCACTTGAATCAGAAACATACTTATTAATTCAACATTGGTGTTCTATAGAATGCCAAACTACTATAAAGGCTTACATTGATGGAAAAATTGAATAAACAATAGTAAGCCCTTCATATACATGGTAAAATGTTACGATTTATATATATATATATATACGTGTATACATACATTGTAATTTATTATAATGCATTATTTATTGTGAAAATATTAATTTCAGTGTACTACTGTTTAGTTGTGATTTTGCAATCTGTGTTAAAAATCAGATGTGACAGGTTCGTGAATATTGATGGAGATAATAACACAAAAATCGACATATAAAATTGATGTCCTATAAACTTTTTAATGCGACATTCTACGTCAATGCACTCTATAATATATAATTTAGATATAAGATATAAATATTGAGAACCACTCAAAAAGATGGACTATTTTATTATTAGATCATTTAGATATAAATTTATTATTCATAAATATATGTGTATATATATTTACATATATATATATATATGTGTGTGTGTATGTGATATATATGCATATATCCTTCTGCATTATGTTATTATTGTTAGATTAAAATAAAGGTGCATTCATTGTAAGAATCAAATTAAATTTCTGATATATTGTTTTACCGATTTCATTGGTTTGTATGAATTTATGCATGGTGGTAGAAACCCACCATGAATTTATGTGTATTTGCAAAGACTTGTGCGACTGTTTAAAAAGAAGTTCGAAATTGCACATAAACGAACTTCACAATTCAAATAGCCAATGGATCTATTTTTTTCCTTGTAAAGCAATATTTATGCATAAAATTTTCATAAAATTGACAAGTATTTATTATTTATCGGAAGAAATGGCAGCACCGGAAATGCCATGCACTTATGAGTTCTCCAAAGGCAATGGCACCGGTGTGGCAGAAGCGCTTGGAAACTGGGGTTTCTCTAACAGAACTTGTAGCGCCGGCCAAGAGTTACAACGTTTAAAGTGTCTCTTTGCAAAAATGGATTCTTTGTGAGGGAAATATGCATTTTATTCAACAATAAAGATTCAAATTGATGAATTGCTGGCCTTAAGGAAAAATTCGACCATAAAAAAAAATAAAAGGATTGCCTTAATTTTAGACGCAGTGACAAACCGGTGATGTGTGTTAAATACGATCCCAGATACGATCCTGAAGCATGGCATGTTAAGCCTAGTCCCAATGAATGTAAACCAGCATGGACATTTCCTATAAACAGGCCTCTAATTACTCACTGTTCGACCGCCACAATTGCGAAAGTTTCCAATATGCTTGAGATCGGATCGGACTTAATGTTATTCATTCCTGGCCGCAGCTATGTTCAACAGGGTGTATGTATATACTCTTTCAATGAATTTAATCATTTAAAGCAAACCAGCAAAATTTTATTATTATGGATCAATATATTACCATATAAATTTCGGTTATATATTGTACCTAAAGTAGATACTTTGCGCGTACAATTATATAATTTACTTTTAGACGAGTAAATGGTATCGTCGAAGTTCAGACTGTTGTTATCAACCTAGCTGTCTAGCTCCGCAATGTCCTGTACGATATTCTTGTGAAGGCTAACCTTTAAAATTTATGTAGTTTGTAATCGTGCTTAATAGTGATGATAACATCAAACTGAATATTTCTGTTTTTTTTTCTAATAATAAGATGTAATATTTGTGCAATATACATATACATTAAATTCTAAAATGTTTATGATTAAAAAAAAGTCACGATGGAGGAATCAAGGTATAAGGACACAAGTAACAATACAATTGAGTTAACAAAAATTATATCTGAGAGCAATGAGGTCGTTTAATTTATTTTTCTTTTACTTTAACAAACACAGTGTTTCGAGCTTTTGCGCGTTGCGTGAGAACAATTACATTATCGAATGGTGGGACAAGTAATTTAACTGACCGTCATTGCCAGATTTTCATTCTTTGAGCTGATATATATTGGTGGATGAAGTATTTCTAGATACTAGCTAGCGTTACAACAATGTACACTAATTTGAATTCCTTAAAATAGAAACTGATCTACACAAGTAGCATTTTGTAAGATCCTAGATAAGGAGCTCTGTGCTGTCTTTGCGATGACTCTGCATAAAAGCTTTCTCTCGGGATTCTTATGTACAAGAAAAAAATATATAAAAAACTGAATTGATATGAGTCATGGTACAATATAAATATGAAAACTGTACGAAAACGACGTACGATTTACGCGAGTCAATAATATATGTTATACGAGTTATTAAAAATATATACTTATGATATCTTAAGCAAGTATTAATAATATACATATCGTAATGTATAAATTAAGACTAGATAGAATATCGGAGACCTTATCTACTTCTACAGCCAATATAATAATCGAGTGTGACTGAAGTATAACTTATAAACTAGTTACGCAATGACATGCGGCACAATAACGGCTGAAAGCGTACTGGCAAGAAGAAGAGAGCATGGTATTTTGTTGACATCTTTTTCCACATATTTTGTCTTAAGTTGGGCATAACACTGAAATCAGAATAGTAATTTTGTAAGTATTTCTTAACAATGTTTATCGATCATGATTTATAATACGTTCGAGTTGAAAAATTGTTTATATTTGTAGTGGAAAAATTGAATTGAAAATCTAGTTACCTTTGAGTATATAATCTGTTAGTAAAGTGGGTACTGTCGGGCTATCCTCGCTAATGGCCTTTAATACTGCAAATAAGCATGTATATTGATATATGTATGTAGTTATATTTTGTAATTATTTTTTATTATTAAAAAATTGTATGTAATTAGATTAAATTATTATTAATAATACTTACTTTTGATAAGTACTTGCAAGGCTTGATTGTCTGGCGGACCATTGTCTGTATGATATGGAATAACGGTTGTCAGGTACTGTAATAAGAATGAAAAATTCCATTTTCTCTAAATTGTACAATTAAATTACTGAAAACTGACTTTTTTTTATTAAAGATTTAATTTACTGTAAAAGAGTATTCGTAATTTAATAGTTAAAAGATAAATGCGTAAAATTTACTACGTAAGTTCATAATTCTATACAGCGGTATACCTTTGGCTCCTGCAAAGACCTATGTTGTGGCAACGGACTAGTACCATTCTGCATTTGATTTCTCTTCTTTGTAACATGATGCTGCCTACGTCGATTTTGCACAGCCAACAGTAAAGAGATAAACTGGTTTTTAAGTTCCTTTTCATATTCTAATTCATCCCGAAGCGCAAGCTCGGCAATTAGTGTTTCGCTCAAAGCCGCAACCAAGGATTCCATTTCTCCAAAAAGTTCAGTCAGTTGGCTGGAGGAAAGTTGCTTTAATTCTAAAAATACATTTAATGTTTTTTAATATGTTTTTCCATTTTAGAAATTAATTTATCTCTATATTATTATATTTAACGTGAATACTTTTCAACATATAATTATTTTAAATACTTTTTTCATGAAGTGGCGATCCAAGTACTTCTCTACTTCTTTCCAAAGCCTCATCGCTATCCAATAAAGAACCCTCTGAATCTGGCGATCTTTCCATTGACGGACTTTCCTGTGGCGGCGACAAGATGCAAAATCGCTTATTTAGTAATTATTGCACCGGCAAGAATAAGAATTCAAGTGAATGCGTCAAGGTTATACCTGCATTATATCATCTATCTCGCGAAGAACTTCCTCGGCAGTCTTTAGCGGTTCTTCCGGACTGTGAGTATCAGTACTGCTGGACAAGATTAAAGCATGCATGTCCAAGTCTGTGGCAACTGCCTCATCTTCGCTACTCAAATCTTCCAATTCGGGTCTATAGAGAACAAAAAACGAAAGCATCGAATTTACGAATAATAGAGTCGATGTGAGAAAACGAGAAGCAAAGTCAGAAAAATTTTTTTTAAATGCATAATTGCTGCAAAGTAAACTTTTTACGAATAATTATACAAATAGTTAAATGTGCAAGAAACAAACATCTACCTTTCTGTCGAAGCGGGTGCTTCGTTCAAATTCAAAGCGGGCATATGCATTTTCCGCGCGTAGGATTTGCTCCAGTCGATGGGTAAGATATTCCCGAAAGTTCCGGTAATCGTCCACCACATCCTATAAAAAATATAATATTGTAAAAAATACACATACATATATATGGTTATTGATACACGAAGACTCTCTTGCCGTTTTCTAAGGGCAGTTTGCTTATAATCTTAGCAATCGTTTATATCATTTAAGTATACGTAAACAGATGTATCTCTTCAGAGATGACTCATATCCTTTAATTCACATCATTCTCTAGTCGAGGAAATTAATGTACTTTAAATGTGTCATCATTTTTTATTGCTCGATTACTGAATGTTTCGATTAGGAATACCGCATCTTCCTCTTTCTTAATTTTTATTTGAAAAATTCTGGAGCATGATTTTTTATAACAAGCCTATGCAATTTTCTTGACTGTGTAAGATATAGAATTGTCTTATAATTTTTCTTCAAAATTTTATTTATTTTATTATATCGAAAATGTATATTACAAATGTATATAATAGTGTTAACTATTTTACTAATATACTAAGATGACGATTCGAGATTATTTCAAGAACACCTTTAATCTTTATTTTATTTTTATTCCTTTCATAATTTTTTTGTTTTGATATAAATAAATATATATAAAATTTCTAATATCTCTCTCTCTCTCTCTTTCTACATATACACAATGGATAAAGAAAAGTTTACTCATAGAGGTGTCATAACAGTTTCCGGCATTCATCTAAAGGTTAATGAGGACGTATGACAGAAATGTCGCGTAATTTTAGCGTGAAGGACATGATTTGCGAGATATTACAAGAACATGACGTGTAATGCGCGATCAATAAATGCAGATGTTCCTACGAGGATGATATAATGCCACGATATTATCTATTGAGTCGTGCCAATGTGTGTTGTTCTACAATGTAGAAACACGCATTTGGAACGTTCTATATATAGCTGTCATCAGAGACAGGTTTCTCACTCAGGAGGACTCTAAGTCTTTTTAATACCGCGCCTGTTTATATCATTAATATAATAGCCGTGTGAGCATTCCCATTAGGAACACATTTGGAACACCCTCTATGGTGATGAGAGCGACAGACTTTCTAGGACGCCGCGTGAATCATTGCAGGCTGTGGGCGTTTCCTGCGTTACGCATTGTACATGTACGCACTGCATAGATAAGACGTTTAATCAAGTGCGAACAAAACGTAAGTCAACGACGTTACGGCGATAACATGTTGTTTTCTAAAGGAAGTCATTTTTCATGCGAAGAACGGCCAGAGCGAAGACTCCTCGCGGCGCGAATTTGCGAACAATGTATCTCGTGGGAGCCGAGCAGCAAAAACAACATCCAGAGGCCTGTAATATCCTCAGGAACTGAAATATCAATCGATTGTTATCTTCTTTTACATCTTCTCTTCCAAATGTTCTCTCGCAGTCGATGCATCGCGATGAGCGACAGAAACCATGCGTTTTAAAAGTCATCCGAAGCTCTTTCTTAAAATATCTCTCAGTTCCGCTAACGTGAAATATTTACGTTTCTCACGAATCTTCCTTTTACTTTCTTGAAATATTAAATGGACACACAGTCGACAGAAAGATTAAAATTTCTTATTTTTTTATTAACCAATATTTCTCAGAAAGTTCGAATCAGTTTTTACTTACATATGAATTCTTTTTTTTTTTAGACTAAAAAAAAAATGTGTAAAATATATAAATTAAAAACCTCTGAACTTTTATGAAAAAAATTTGTGTATAGAGATATTTTAAGAGAATAAAGTCATTAAAATCTATATTTATGTTGGGAATATTAAAATCTATATTATGTATGGGAATATTAGATATTCTTTTTGTTCAAAATTTTCATGTATCTGTGTATTTACATGTGTAGAAAAATGGCTGCAACGGATATCAACGCATTGATCGACCATTTGATGTCGTGGGTTAATAAATCGAGGTCAACTCAGTCCACTTGAGTCTCTGATTAATGTAAAGTGGCTTTATCTCCAGTGTACACGTTGTTCGTATCGAAAAGGTCCGACATTTTTATACCGCATGGTACGTACGAAGTCAAGCTAATTTTTAATCTTTGAACGTTTGCAAAAATCATAGTTGGATAAGAAAGGATAAAAGGAAGCTCAGCGATTGTAAAATTAGCTTAATCTCGAAAAATGGGGATTTCGCAATTTTGCAAAAACAGCTCTTATCAATTCTTTTAAATTTGCTTGCTTCTCACAAAATCTGCTCAAAACAGAGAGAGAGAGAGAGAGAAAATATTTAAAAAAATTATAAATTCTGTTCTTAATTAAAATCAGATGAATTCTCATATACATATATATATATAGCCTTCGCGTATAAATTTATTCCCGTAACACCCCGTAAATGTGATCGCCGCTATCTGAGGCGCGTGCGCGCCGATATTGACGTTTGCCCTCTGTTTGGAGGGTGGTGTAGCTCGATACGAACGAAGGAGCAAAACAGAGATTAAATTTTCATGTCACGCGTTTTCGTTAGTATCAAAACACTTACGAAACGATAGTATCGGTTAAGAGAGTGAATTCAAGCGTCCATCTATCGAGTTACAGAAATCTGGTGCAAGTCAATTGATATATAAAAAAACACATTTTATATATATTTTTTATATTATATACAGATATAGTAATATATTTCCATAGAATTCTACA